CAATATTAAGTATTATTAACCATATGTTTACCTATCTATCATCGATAATGTATTGATGCAACAACTGTAAGCATTTATGATTGTACAAATGTATAATAGATTAATAATCTATGTTGAAACACATTTTATTAACTAATTTATTTGTACCTCTTTTTAAAAAATCACCCCATGCAAGGCAGTAATGCCGCTAAAACAAGTGGTTACAAAGTGTGGAAAAATTAGAAACAAAACATTAATAATGAGCAGAAAAAGAAGAGCGTAATCAGGAAGACAGTAGATAGTGATTGACATTGCATTTAAATTTTTGCAGATTAAAGTTGGCTGGAAAACATGGAGTCAGAATGGATTTCCACAAGCAAGAAATGTGATAAAATGAATATAAATTCTATGTCATCAGAAAAATCATATGAATTTGTAACAAAAAATGTTATAGAGATGCATAAAAAAGTATATGTATGCACATTATATTTTAGATATGAGAATTATTGTCTATTGATGCATATTATATTAGAAGTTAAGGTAACATTTAACACCGTGCAATACAATATGCAATTCAAATTTACTTCCATTAAGAATTTACTGTTGATCATAAAAAAATAAATTATACATTTTGAATCATTAGAATTAAAAATACCCAAAGCTAACAGAAGAAAAGGAAAGCATGTAAGGAAAGCAATGTATTAGCAATATAATCTTATTACTCAGTCAGTTGTTATGGTAACATAAGGCATGTTTACTTTGAGTGGCATTTAGTAATACTTCATGTTACCATAACAGAACATCTCATTACTAAGTAAGTACTGAGACCAGGTTGTGTAACCGGTAAATATATAGCATCAGATTGTATTTTAAAGATTATTCTGATTTTAGAATTATATTTTAATATCCAACACAACATTGAATAAACTTTATTTTTTCATATTTAGGAGTTTCTTGTTGTTGAATGATAGTCAGCAAACTCATATTGCAGGTGCTGTGTGAGACAAATGTAAGTAGTAAATAACTATTTTCACTGTATAAAAACTACAGGGTCATTTCAGAGGAAAGTATTTTATATGAACTATATGAAATATCAGATTAATCCAAATTAACAACATTCTTTCAGATGCTGTGTCTTTTCAAGTCAAGGGTGATCATGATTTTCCACAACTTTCTTTGTAACTCTTTATCAACATATCTTTTTACTATTCCTCCCACTTCCTGTTCTATCACCCGGTAGATTACTCACCATTTCGCTCCGTACCTCTTGCTTTCGCTATGTCTTGTGAGTATCAAATTTTCTAACCTTTCTTTCCCCATTAAGAATGTAACTTTTGCTTGAAATAGTCTTGAAAATGTAATCATCCATTTGTTGTTTTTATTTTGTCACGTCCACATTAAATATGCAATAAAAATAAATTAAAAAAAAAAGTAGTTAATTATAAAAATAAATGGAGAAATTTTAGTTTATAATCTCAACAAAATGGGTTCTTGTTGCAGTAGTTAGTGTGAAATTTCACACAAACCATTAGCATTGTGTTCTATACTTACTGGGTGCTTAAAATTTAGGTTTTAGACTTGTTTTAAACAGCTCAGATGGGCAGTATTTTTAATTGATTTTACTTATATAATTTACTGGTCATAATAGGTGTAAAATAATGGAATTATTTATGCAGAAATTAACACTCTGCCAAAGATCAGAGTATTCATGTGCTTTGCCTAGGATCAAAGTGACAATCTCCAGCCTTCAGGCTAAGATTATTAATGTAACCATATTCTTGCCTTCAGTTGAAATGCAGCAAAATAAGTGGCAAATCAGATCTCAGAGATTCTGAACTCAAGGGTACTTAAAGGGAAGAATCATAGTATTTGGGTACGTGATTGACATTGCTTGTGGGTAGTGGAGAATTTTTGTCTTTATCTACACGTAAATATATGAACCCCCATGTTTAACTGACCATATGGAGAGGTGAATAAATCAGTGTGTATTATCTGTCTTGTGAAAAGTTTTGTGTGTGTTCTTTATAATATTTCCATGTGGAGTATTGTCCTCATCTTTGTTGTTGTTATCACAAGGTTTCGGCCATTGTGCCCTCCAGCCTTCATCAGGTGTATGTCAATATGGGTAACCTACAGGGAATTCCTAACCCTTTATTCAATCTATTGGGGTAGACTGTTCTCATTTAGGGATATCTTATTTTTAGTACTGCTCAATTATTGCTCGCCCTGTTTCCACTGAGTCCAAGTGCACACTGCCTGATCCAGGGATTGAACTCAAAATTATTATGTCACCAAATTCATGAACAAATGCTTTAAAATTCACTGTGTGTGCTTGATATGTGAATTTTTTTCCATATGAATATCATTTTGAAATATCAGCACTTGCAAGTAGAGATTATAAAATACTAATATTTTTGACAATTTTCTACAAGAAAGAGTAAGTATCTGTTTTATTTTCTAAATAAAAGTGAAAAGAAAGAATTAAAAGCAAATACTTTTTGTGATAATTTTATTATTTCAATATAGAAACTTTTAGATCTACTTTAAAAAATCTCGAATGAAAAATCTAAAAAGTGTTTTCAGTTTTCATATTGTTAAACTGGCGTTAGTAATTTCTGACTTTCTACAGTTAAAATATGGACACCAAATAATTTGGGTGATTTTTTTTCTAGAATCTGATGGAAGATTTGAAACTTTGTCTTTTCAAGTCGTCCATTGATAATGTGGCACTCAAAACAAAAGTATCTCTTAGTGGCAATCAAAACAAAAGAAAGTATCTCTTAGTCTTGGAGAATTAAATTTTATTTACTAAGTCTTAGAAAGAAAGAGGCAACATAATTTAAAACGGTAGGTACGTTAAATTACGGAAAATGCAATCGGAGTTCGATTTTTGATTGAAGTCGCTTCTATTCATCTTTAGCACTACAATGAACTTGCTAAAGGCATGAACCCACTGCTTCTACCTGCCATCTGCCTGATCGCTACTTAATAAGAAGCTGACACTGATTTTCAATCGCGACAAGGTGGAATAAATTCTTGCTAAACAAACAATGGTTAAAAAACTACACTACAGTAACATAACTTGTCAATTTCAAAAACTATTTAAAAAAAAAAAAAAAACCCCGGGCAGTACCACGCAACCTTGCCATAAACATTTTTAGTTTTATTTTATCCTTGGTTGCAGAACTTTTCCATTTTTTAAGTTACCGCGACTTAACGAGGTGTGTGTGTGGGGGGGGTTAAAAAGAGGATTTGAATGCATCCTAAATGGCAATGCCCTAAAAGAAAAAAAATGCTTGCTGGAAGATTTGCATTTATTTTTATGATCGCTATCATGGTCATTGTTCGAGTCCATGCGACTGTTAAGGTTTTGAAAGTAAACAGATCCTCTTTCTAACCCCATAATTAGTTTTTGTGTCGTAAAAACTGATGTTTAAATTCTAACCTTTAAAAAGCGAAACATTAAACAAAGAAATAAAAATTTGAGATGGAGGATGAAATGGGCGCATCATTATTGGATTATGATTAAAATCCTTTTTAAAAGTTTGATTATTCTTTAACTTTTTATTTTAATTATGACACTGTCTCTTAAAAAAAAAATCATTCAGTGCTTCTTTTAATTAAAAAGTTAAAACTAAAAGTTAAAAAATACATATTGTAATTGTTTAAAAATAAAATAAAAACAAATATTTTTTTTCTTTTGACATCAGTTTAAAATTTAAATTTTCTAAAACATTTAATAATAAAATTTATTAACATGTGTTTGGGTTTGTAATTGTTTAAGAAATTAAGTTAATTTTAAGTGAAATTTAACAACTACACTAATTCACATTATCTGAGATAATTAAAAACAAAAATATTTCTGGAACAAAGAAATTAAAAACAAATAAAAAACATAAATAAATAAGAATTTTTTTCCATCATTTGATTTCATTATTTTAATAATAAGTTAATTTAAAAAGTAACAGCAAAAATTATTTTGTAATGGAAAAAAAATATTAAAAAATAAATTTTAAATATAACAATTTAATTTATATATAATTATTATTTACTTATTCAGTTTAACAATGTTTATTTTCCCCAAGTTCCTCTTAGATACAAAAAAGAAAAAAAAAAAACAAACAATATTTGTTTACCTAGAATTTTAATTATTTTTTTTTATCCAGGTGAGAAAAACTTTACATTTAAAAACTTTTGACATAAACAATAAGTTTTTGTCCTTTTTTAAACGAAGGAAATCTTAATGGATATTAGATAAATTTAAATTTCAAATCTTTATTTTATTTTCGTTGTCGTGAATGTGTCGATTCGACCATAACAAGGAGACAATTTGAAATCAATTAAGAAACAAAAAAAAAAGAAAATACAAGACAAGGTAACAAAAAAAAATCCCACACTAATAAAGACCTGACTGAATTAATAAAAAATAGGGGACCACAAATGAAAATAAAGTAATCCATAAAAATTTTCATTCTGTTCTTTATTTAAACAGAAAACAAGAAAATAAATGCCTAAGGTAAGAAAGGCCTTATCGTTTCGACCATAACTACGATGGTCTAAAACTGGGGGATTAATTTCTAATATAGAATCAATCGCAAACTGAACCCCCAGTTTATGCCTCTTTCCAAATAATACAAACTACTCTTTTAACTTGTGAGTCAAAGAAAAAAATTGTAACAAAAGAGAATGTATACATAACTTACCGTTAACATAAGAATCCTGAAAGTTTTTTTTCCTGATCTCCAAGTCCGATCTGAACTCACGTGAAATGAAAAAAATGACAAAACAAACTTCAGCCCCTCTACAGCACGGAGCAATTATGTTTACTATATAAAAAGACCCTTGGTCGTCTGTCAACCATAATGGACACACTTTCGTAGTCGGGTCAATTCGGCTGTTTCCGGAATAACATCCGCTATTTTAACGGAAAAGAGCGAAGATTGCCGAAGCAGCCGAATTTTTTTCTGTTCGTTCAACGAGAGAATTACTTCCCTTGGCACAGTCGTCGGCGTGCGTCAAAAATGGTGGACCACGTTGGCAGTCTACACGGACATCATCATCAGCACCCTCACCAACAATTGGTTGATGTCAATTCTGTAAGTAAAAATCTTTTATTTAGATTAGCTATAAAAATCAGATTTTCAGTGATCTGTGGGAGACCAATTTTTATTAATCGAAACATGCTATTTTTGTTTTTCGTAAATATGCGTTCTCTTGTTTTTAAAAGTGACGACGTCTCTTACTTAATTGAACGCTTTTTTTTAAACTCCATATGATTGATATATTGTTTTAAGAATCTCAATAATATTCCTTTATTTTTTTTTTAAAGTATTAATGTCAAAAGTAGCCTCTTGGAAATATACTTAATATGTTATTTGGTAATTAATGTTTTTCGACTTTAATATGTCACTTTTTATCTGTCTTTCTTCCATCACAATTTTTGATGGGGCGGGGGACCTTAAAGATCGTTGAATTGTGTTTAGTTTGTTGGGGTTTCGATTCTATATCTATTTAAAGTTGATTTTTTTTTTTTACCGGTTTGAAGCCTTAAAATCTCATTTATTGTTATTATTTTATCATTTTCCCTGCTAATGATAAGAATTTTCGTAATTCACTCGTAAAGAAAACACACACACATTCACTTAACTTTGTAAAAGAAAATTACAATGTTTGGGACAACCCTCATTCTCATAATTTGATTAATATTATCTTTTTTATTAATTCATTTTCATTATTTCGAGATATATTTCCTAGAGATTTTGTTTTCTTTTTAAACAAAGTATTTTTTAAGTCTCTTAAATTTATTGTCCTGTGATTTTATTTTTACACTTTTAGTTTTTTTTTAATTTTTGGGACTTTGCAACTCGTATAAGATTTTTTTTTTTATTTACAACACAAAATCTACAGTTTTCTCATTTTTTTTATCGATTCTTAGATTTACTTTTACATTTTTAGTTTGAAAATTTATTAATTTCAATTATTTTATTGCTAAAATAAAGTGTCGATTTATTTTTCCATGAAGTGAATTTGGAAATGGATTTTATTTGAAATTGAAACTATTTAAAAATATCTTCAAGTCTTATTGAAAAACAAAACACTATCTCCCCAATTTATTAAACTAAATTCTAAATAAATGTTATTTTTCCTATTTTATCATTTCATAATTTGTCTAAATGTGTCCGAATCTTTTTAAGATCATGACAAACTGTTTATTTATAAAATTCGAATCACTTAGGCTTAAAACTAAAAGTGAGTTATTCTTTCTTTTTAAGATTTATTTTGATAAAGTTACTTTATCAAAATCATTCAAATTAAATGATACTTTATTAAAGTATCATTTAATTTGAATGATTTTTTTATTTCTTAATCTTAAATGTTAATTTCGTGCTTTCATTTGAAAATTTGGCTCTTAAGATCCTGAATGAATTAAAAAAACTCGTGATAACACCTTTCGGCTTTAAATGTTTTGAGAATTTTTTTTTATTTGTTTTGGTTGCACTTTGTACATTTTAAAACTCACATTTTCATTTTCGACAAAAATGAAAATCAAACAAATCCCTCTTCTTTTGTATACGAAATTTCTTTTTATGAATTAATAGTTCAATATTTGCCACGTGTACATAAACATAATTGCAAATATGATATTTGATAATTTGATTTATATTTTGTAAACCTTTTTAAACGACTTTATTGTGATGTTTATTTCGTCATGTTATTTTGTTGTTGTTTTTTACTTTCTATTAAAAAGGTTTTTTAAACAGGAATTTCTATATTTAGTGTTTTAAAAAAATCATAAATAAACAAAAAATTTAACAAGTTATTGTAATTGTACTTTTAGTTAAGCAAGCATCCCATTGTCAAATTTTTAAAGGCATCAGCAGGTGTTAAACTCAGAAACTTGTTAGAGTTGTTGATCAATAAAATTGATTAAAAATGAACTAAAATAAAATTATAAAAAAATGTAATATTTAGTCACTTTTTGAACAAAAATTCCTTTGTCTTAAATATACACTCAAAAAACGTACCCGTTTTTATTCAACTGTGTGAGCATAAAAAAATGAGGTACAATACAAGAACGTGGTAACAAGAAAAGTCTGTCATCTTTAAAGTTGCAAGTTATTACTTGGGTTAAAAAGACAAGTTCACTCAAAGCAAGATTGCAAAGGGTCCTATAACGTCTGAAAACGACTTATTGACTATGTTCTTATCATGACAAGATGGATAGAAATCAACAAAGTATTCTGTGTCGTGTTTTTTCAGTACGTTGGTGATCATAGCCCTCCTCAACTTCCTATCATTTGTAACTCTTAGCAATGTTTGCCTTTTAACTATCCCTTGCAGTTCCTGTTCAGCCATTGCTTTGCACAGACTCATTAGATAGCTTACTCATTGTGTCCTCCTCGCCTTCAGTATGTCCTATGAGTGTTATTCTCCAAGTTGTCTTTCTGCATTATGTGTCTCAAAAATTTCAACTGTTAGTTTCAAATTCTAAGTATAAGTGAGTGTTCTTTTTGTATCGCCTTTCCTTAAAATGATATTCTCAGCATTCTTTTATCGAACCATATCTCTTTTACCAGAAGTCTTCTCTTCATTGTGAGAAAATTGTCCATTATTCATTGCCATATAGGAAGATTGATATTACATAGCAGTTCAGCACTACCTCTATAAAATATCATCTGTGGTTGGTAACATCAGGAAAGACATTTTTTTTTCCTATTAAAACAATTGTAGCATGTAACTGATGAAATGTATTGATCTTCACTATTCTGTCATTTCTATGGAAAATTTTAACTAAGCATGCATTTACAATTTCAAATGGGATTCATATATAACAATTTTAAAAATTTCCCTAAAAAAAAATGAAAATAAAAAAGGACCAAATTGTCTCAACCAAAGAAAAATCTTAAGTGGGGCTGGGCTGATGGATCTTTTCTCAGAAGTGTGAAATTCCTAACTAGTCACTTCAAGTTAAACTTTCTAGCATAACATATTCATACTGCATTCACCCAACTTTCACAAAAATCTGACAAAGAATGCCTCTCCCTATCCTTCCTTACCTAATCCATAAGCTGATGCAACCAGGTGAGGAGAATGCAGCAAATCACCATGGACTTCCTTCATTCCCCTCAGTCAAATCAGCCTTTACATCACAGGCAACTAACAGAAATACATAGTTTTTTTATTCTTGTCAAGCTCTGGTTGTTACAAATAGAACTGGCTTCTAAGGCAAAGAAAAAATATTCCTGGAGATTGTGAACCATGTAGCTTTCAACATGCAAAATGTCCATATAGATACATTCTGGCAAAGTAATCAGCTTTGCTGCAAAAAAAAAAAACACTTTTTGTCAATTTGGAGGAATTTTATATCATCAGCCAAGTGTGGAATGTGTCCTCATTAGTGAAGCATTTCAACCTGGGAACCTATGGCCATTGGGAGCAATGCTCTCTTCTTATCAAGCTGTGCACATTTATTGTCTTGCCCTCATTTTGGGGCAAACAGTAGGTCTCCACACTTTAATCGACCATCTCTTAATAGCAGTTGTTCCCAGGTTCACCCTGAACCAGGGTGGTAGCACCTTTTAGGGTCCCAGTTATGGGCAAATAGTGAAACCCAAACACTATAAAAGTATTAGAATACATTTTTATAGTAAACTAGCAGCATTAACCGACATTGCCTGGGTTTATTCAAAAAAAGATCATGAACCTTATCCAATCTGTAAAGTTAAAATAAAGATTTTTCTTTAGTGCCTCTTGTCTATATGGGGAAAAATTATAATGACATGAAGTGTGAAAACATTTATAACAGGAGAAAGTTGTTTTTTACAGAAGCACAGAAGATACAAAAAAATTTGTCAGCAAATGAAGAGTACATTAATCGCAATCTATCTTCGAAAATTGTTGAGGAGAAATGCTTTGTTGTAAGCTTTTGCTCAAACTACATCGAATGAACAAGATGCATTGGAAGGAGAAGAAATTCAACAAAGACTTCTAGCAGCCGTGCCAAGGCTGAAAACCAATGTTCACAAAGACTGTATAGAATTGTTCTTTGCCCCTCAATTTTGACAGCTCGAGTAGCAGAAGTTCTGGCAGCGTTCCCTCGTCTAGTTAACCGTTGCTCATTAGTTTCTGCTGACCTTGCATTAGCTGTATGAATAGCATTTTGTGTCAGTCTAATTTGAGTTTCTAGTTGCAAAGCGTTTCTTCTCCATGCTTTCATGCATTTGGCTGTAGTAGTAGCATGTCCAAGTGAAGGATTTCGCTTTCTTGGCATTACTGTCAGGCTGTAGTTGGAGGGGTTTGGCTAAGCTTTTTGAATGACAATGAAGCAATCAATTAAAAAGCAAGAATATTATACACATTAATGGAAATGTAGCCATAATAAATTAAATGCAAGTTTATAAGGGAGACCACGGGAACGTAGTAAACAATTATAAGCAAGCTTATAAAGTTAGGATTTATCTAAAAATAGACCACCAAAAAAACGTTCTAGTGATAAAAATAAAAATTAATGTGCAGCTAGAAACCTATTCACTATGAACGTTAAAATGTACATGCTAAGTTTAGCATAATTATAAATGAATCGAAGGAGGGTCTTTACATTATTATAAGTGCATTTTTCAGAATAAAACTGTCAAAATTTTAGGGCTCAAGTTTCCAAATATATGAGTTAGTAAGCATTATTTAAATGCTGATTAGAAGATGATAAATACATAATTAAAAATTGGCATTTAGGCTTAAACCTTTTTCATATGATTTTCAAAAATTCAAAATATACATGCATGAAGGCAGCCTACCTTTTTACTGGATGACAACTTTGCTGCAAATCAGATTTTTTGCATTTATTTCATCACATAGCACTAATGAACACTACATGTGAAGCAAAATCGATAGTATGCACTACATAACTCGATTGATCATTGCATGTTGAGCAAAATCAATTGTACACACTACACATCTCGATCGATCTCGCACACGCATCTTATACCTACATGCACTTCTCTCATCAGTGCACACTTTCATTTGCACTTATTCTTTTTTTCTTAAGGAAGGATATAATTTTTGTCGTCAAGTTAATGCAAACTAAACTATTTCAGTA